AAGGCTTTCATCAATTGTTGGATTTTGAAGTAATTCCAGATAAAAATCCAAACAACCTAAAAACTTGTCAAGCCCAATTCTGTCTATAATTATAATTAATTTTAAAATTAAATTTTAGCTTTACAATTCTGATGAAACTTCAGCTGCAGAATCATCATATGTAGCTAAAAATAAAAAAATAAAAAAACAGGTAATATCTATACCAAAAAAATTTCGTCGACTATTTAATGATTTATCTTAACTATTACTTACAAATATTACAATTAAATATCTTCTGCCCAATACCACTTTTTATTTGCAACTAATGGATCAAAGTATAATTAATAATTTTAAGGTTAGCAATAAATTTGAACGTTATTTTTTACTAAAATAATATAACTATTTTATTTTAATTAATTATCTATCATTTTTTGAAAATATAGGTTAAATATAAACAATATTATTGTCAGCATTTAATAAGATAATTTGATAATGAAAAAGATATAGGCTGGTAAATAAAATTTTTTTAATTGATAATTTATGATATAATTATTTATTAATTAATTAATTTATTTATTTATTTTTTAAAAAAAAACTAAAATAACTTAATTTACTAAAAGCAATTAATTATTTATCAGATGTATAGTTAGATGTATCACAAAATATAATTTCAAACTGTTAAGTTAAAGCAGAAATTTTGCCATCGGTAAATTATATTCAAAGAGAAGTTGCATCTAATCAAATTAATATGGAATTAGATGTTGAATTTAAAGAAATTGAAGAACCTGAGATTTTACCTGATACTAGTACACCTTTTTTTAGATGATATTGATTATTATATAAAAGAATTGGAAGAACTACTACTTGAAGAATTTTTAGCTGATAAATAAATTATCGAATATGTTACTAAAGATTCTAGTAAAGAAGCTATTAGTGACACTGAACCTGAATTGAAAATAATTAGCATAAAAGAAGCAGCACAAGGTTTGAAAAACTTTATTACTTTTTTTACCTAACAATCTGATCATTCAGATTTTTGTTCTGAAGATTTAAAAAATTTTAACAAATATTCAAAATTAATAAACGTCAAATTATTTGAAAGTAAAAAACAAACTTCTATTGACTCTTTCTTCAATTAATTTGTATGCTAATAAATAAAATATAATGGCATTAATACAATATCTTATTTTCTTTTTGATTAATATTTGTATTTTATAACAAACTCTATATAATAACTGCGTTGTAATTTTAATATGAATAGTAATTATAAATAGATTTTTATTATACAATCACATCTATTTATAATTACCAATTTTTGACTGACCAAAAGTAGTGATTATAGATAAGTCTGACTGTATTAATAAATAAAATTTTTGTTTATGAAAAAAAATTTTACTTTTTATATTCAAGCATAATATATAAATTTATAGCTAAATTTTTATTGAAAAATCAATAAAGTTTCATTATAATAAAATATACTAGGAAACGGAAACCATTGTGAGTCCGGAGCGAAGTATTTTTGTAGATTAGAGTTTTGAACTTGATTAAATATAACACAATAGATAGAATAGTGAATGTAACACAATAAATATGTAAAAAAATATATTAATAAAAGTATCGGTATCACGTGATCAGACATTAACAATAATTATAACGAAATAGTGGAATCTAACTAATTGTTGCAAAAAAACCTTCGTTATTTTTAGAAAAAATTTTTCACACTTATCATGTACTGTGTTACACTTTCATGTAACATATCATGTAACACTTTTATCTTATGTTTATCACAGATTTGTTTATCAGTGTAGCACAAAATTTCAGTGACGTGATACATGCAAACAAACGGACTTCGCCACATGATATAGTTACACTTAACATTCACAAACATATATAGTCCTCCGCTTCGCTCCAGACAATAATTTATTATAAAATAAAGAAATAATTATTTTAACTTCTTAAAAATAAATGATTATCAAAGATCTTTAAAATTCCTTTCAAATTTAAGCAAAAAAAATCAACAAGAATAACAATTTTTTTAAAATTAACTTTTAGCTATATTAATCAAATCATAATATAATATTGTAATAAACTAAAAAGTTATCTTATAGATCACATGATTTTTAACTT